CTCGCTCTTCATCTTGATGATGTGTGGACGGGCGGGGGGAGGGAGCTGGAACCGGTTCTAAACGGAACTATAGATTTGTGGAATCTCTTCTACAGAAGAGGTTAGAACTGGCAGGAACCCACCCTTGCAGGGGTGTGATAAAAACTTTAAACTGAGTTGCTGCAAAATAAGTCACCTGGAACAATCTACTTGTCTTTCAGTTTGAGAATCTGTAACATCCGCCTATTTAAATGCAGTTAAATATGCATGGTCTTGAATATGCAAAAGTCCAATAATGCTCCAATAATTAGAAGGGCTTCTTTTCTCAACTGGAAATTGACACAGAAACTGTCACATCCTGGACAGAAAAGGTATGTGCAGAGTTAGTGTAATGGAGGATGGATACAGAAGAGCATCGCAGGATTTATTTCTTGATATATCCCCCCCCTCCTCCAAAAAAAAGCACTTTTAGATCACGGATGTCCAACCTTGCAACTTTAAGACTTGTGGACTTCCGTTCCCAGAATTCTCCAGCCAGTTGTGTGATTGTCAGGCTGGCAGGGGAATTCTGGGAGTTGAAGTCTGCAAGTCTTAAAGTTGACCAGCCCTGGTTTAGATGGACAGGCCATCCTTTTAAGGTTATAAGATTAAAATGCCAGCTCTTTCGATGTAAAGTGAAATCTCTGAGGTTTTAAACGAATCATTTCCAGGACATTGATATTTATGAATTATTTTTTTGTTTGGCCCCACTTTCTGCCATAGGCTGAAGAAAGCATTCTCTCCAGGGGTTGTTCGGAAAAATGCACCTGCCATGCGCCAGGCCAGCTCGCCTGCAATAAAACCAGCTGCCCTCAAGGGGAGGTTTGCGCCCTTCAAAATGGCCGACATGGGTGCTTCAAGCAGGAAGCGGAATGCCACCTCAGCTTGGAAGGAAAACTGACCACCTTTGATGGTGTCTCTGGGACAATACTTTATGACGGTGCCTATGTGATGGCCTCTCTCTGTGACGAAGCAGTCCAAATATGGTTTCGGCTGGTGGTGGATTTCAGGCGCTGCAATAGTAAAATGAGCTCAGTCTCTACCATTTACGTCTTCTTCCGAGAGGCTCTTCTCGCTGTCAATCAAGACAAGGAAGTTTGGGTAAGAGAGGTTGAGTTGGCGATTCTTGGTGCTGTAACCAAAGGCAACTTGTGGGGGAGGCAAACACCTTAATACAGTGTTTCTCAACCATGGCAGCTTTAAGATAGGTGGACTTCAATTCCCAGAATTCCCCAGCCAGCTGAAGTCCACCTACCTTAAAGCTGCCACAGTTGAGAAACAATGCACAACTGAATTTGAATTTCATCCCGATGTGTACACGCTAGCTTACTACAGGTAGTGCTCAACTTACAACCATTTGTTTAGTGGCCATCCAACTACTCAATCTCTGTCCATAAATTTGATGGAAAATTCTGGAAGGTCTGATTGTGCCCAGTTCTAGTTTGCCCCTCCCCCCTTTTATTTTATTTTTTTGAGGGGAGGAATTTTGAAGCCATGCTTTGTTTAAAAACTGAATTGTGTTTATTTTAGGATTCACACATCATGTTTGCGTTGTTTTCTTTCACAAAACAGCATTCATGATAATCAGAGGGATTCTGAAGGGGACAGAAAGGGAATCTGTGGGATCATAAGCATCCCCTCCCTGAGTTAAACCTTCCTTTAAAATTTCCACTAAATATTGACAGAAATGGTGTAAAGACCAAGTGTGAATTTAGTGTGTTATTTAACAGGTATTAACAAAGGAAAATGAATTAAATCTTCTGTATATTCATGTTGAAATTCATACAGGGAAGCCATTTTTCATTTCATACAAGTTTTTGCCGCTTTCGTATGAGCTTTCTTGCTTGTAGTTGTTAAGAGCAGTTGTTTAGGAAGCCACAGGGTTATTAAATGAATCTGGCCTGCCCCTTTGACTTTGCTTACTGGGAGGTCACAAAAAACACATGGCCCTAGGATAGTGCCACCATCCTAAATATGACTTTAATTACCGGAAGGTCACAATTGCCAGGAGTGTGAATTTTAAATCATGCGACTACGGGGATGCCACAATGGTTGTAAGTGTGAAAAACCAACCATAATTCACTTTTTGGGGGGGCTGTTGTAACTTTGAACTGTCACTAAACAAAGGTTGGAAGTCAAGAACTAACTGCATGAAATTGGTGTCCTGGCGGACAATGCAGATTGGTGTTTTCTTCAGCCAGTTGTGTTTGTGTATATGTATTTGTGATGGAATCACACTGGAGATTTTAAGAAGAAATTAGACAACCATTTGTCTGGAGTGGCATAGGGTCTCCTGCCTGAGCAGCGGGTTGGACTAGAAGACCTCCAAGGTACCTTCTATTCTGTGATTTATTTTTGTTTGTCTTTCTTTCCACTCTTATCTCTTACCTCTAAAACAAACGCAAGGGCAATTCTGGCTAATTTTGCTATCACCCGCTCTGATTCGACCGTTTCCCCCCAGTTTTGCACCCTGACCCTCATTTGAAGACGTAGCATTTCAATAAACTTAACATCTCCCACGATGACTCTCTGTGCAGGTGAATGGACAACAGGTGCAACTTCCAGCTTCCCCTTTGAAAACGGTGTCTGTGAGCATCGTTGAAGATGTGGTCACAATTGGACATGGGGCAGCTCTTCAGATTCTCTTTGACCTCAAAGGAAAAGTGACTGTGAAGGTCAAGGACAGCCTGGCAGGCAAGCTGTGTGGCTCCTGCAGAAACTTCAATGGTGACCTTTCTGACGACCTCACGCTGCCCAATGGTCAAGTTGTAGGAGACATTTCGCAGGTGATTGATGCATGGAAGGCCAGAGACTTCTCCTACTGGTAAGTTAAGGCTTTAGTCCTTCATTCTCTGATTTAGGAGCACACAGCTGGAGTGTTGTCGTTTTTTCTTGTCCAGAATTGTGTTCCCATTGGGACAATCTGTTAAGAATGTGGATTAACGGATAGAACGAAAAACAGAGGGTGGAGTGGGCAAAGTGAAATATGAATAGAGGGAACGATTTCTCTCTCTTTGGGCCAATCTTTTTTCTTTCTCTCTTTTTCCTGCTTTCCCCATTCAGTAGCTGTCAGCTTCTTCCTGCAAAAAGCCAGGAGCCAGAGATAAGAAATAGAGATAGGAGATAGAAATAGGAATAGATAGGAGATAGGGGTGGGTTGCTGCCGGCCTTACTTCTGGTTTGCTGTGCGTGCTTTTTTGCACACATGCTCTCAAGTGCCCCACGTATGCAATGTACAAGTGTGCAGTTGCTGAAAAATTGTTCTGCACATGCGCAGAACATTAAAGACGGAGTAAAAACCATGCCGGCAACGGCATGGGTAACCAGGGAACCGGTACAGGGGCAGGGCCAGCCTGCCGTCCCTACTGGTTCAGTGACCCAGTCACAATTTCCACTACTGGTTTACCCAAACCGGTGCGAACCGGTAGGAACCTACCTGTGGGTAGGGATTGGGATAGGGGCAGGGGCGGGGCAGGGATAGGGGTAAACCAAGATAGTTTAAATATATTAGATAGATGAGAGAGGGTGGGGCATAGAGAAATAGTTGGTAGAGAGATAGGAGTTGATAGAGATGAGAGATAGAGATAATAAAGAAATGATATAGAGAGAAATAATAGAGATGATAGAGATAGCAATGGAGATAGATAGAGAAGATTGATAGAGAGATAGAGATGGAGACAGATGAGAGATAGAGATTATAAAGAAATGATAGAGAGAAATAATAGAGATGATAGAGATAGCAATAGCAATAGCAGTTAGACTTATATACCGCTTCATAGGGCTTTCAGCCCTCTCTAAGCGTTTACAGAGTCAGCATATTGCCCCCAACAATCCGGGTCCTCATTTTACCCACCNGGTCACCACAACATGAGGAACTGTATTAAAGGGTCGCGGCATTAGGAAGGTTGAGACGCACTTCTGTATAAGGATGTCATGGACTGGAGCATCTCAAATATGGTCTCTGTTGTTTCCTCCTGGGTGATGGGCTTTGTTTTCCATTTTGACAATGTTCTCTCTCTTCCTGTAGGTTGATGGAGTATTAGTGGACTTGCCCTTCTACTATGAAGAGAAGATCCAGGCTTACCTTAGTGGAAATCATCTCCTTATCAAGACACAGTTCGACCTTTCCTTGATCTTCAGTTGGAATAGACTAGTCCACATCACGGTTCCTGGCAGCTATCTCAATGTGCTTTGTGGTCTCTGTGGTCAAAAATCTGGTAGGGAGTTGACCATGAAGAATGGAGCGCCAGCAGCCGATTTTATCCAGTTTGCCAACAGCTGGAAAGAAGGAGAGAGCCCTGGTTGTGTGAATGGGTGTACCAGCAACTGTCCAGGCTGTAGTGAAAATGAGAAACAGATCTACAAGACGGATGACTACTGTGGGGTCCTCTCCAGAAAAGATGGACCATTTAGGCATTGTCACATAGCTATCAACCCAGCACCTTACCTTGATTCTTGTGTCTTGGATGCCTGTTTCTACAAGGGCCACCAGAGCATCTTGTGCAGTGCCATTGCAGCCTACGTAACGGTGTGCCAAGCACTGGGCATCCAGATAGACCAATGGCGGGAGGCCTCCTTTTGCAGTAAGTATTAGAGCTGTATTTTTCAGGAATGGTGCAGTGGCCTAGAGGTAGAGTTCTCGCCTCACAATTGGGAGGCTGTGAGTTCATTCCTAGGTAGGGGCAGATATTTCTCTCTCCGGGCACAGTGTATCTGATGAACAAAACTCTGCATTGACGACAGGAAGGGCATCTGGCCAGTAAACACTCTACTAGCTCCATTCAGTTGCCCAGACCCCACATAATCTGCAAGGGATTATGAGGTCATTAAAGGAAGAAGATGGTGATTAGAGCAGTGTTTTTTCAATCTTGGCAGCTTTAAGACCTATAGACTAAGTACATAGGTCTTAAGTTGGCCAAGGTTAAGAAATATTCTAAAAGAAAGATGTTTGCAAGGGAAGGTCGAAGAAAGAAGCTAACAAATAATCCTTCTTCTCTATGGAGATGCTCGGTCATCCAGGTGATGGTTGTCCCAAAGGTGCTTTTTCCAGAGGAAACTGGCCTTTCTGTTTTTTCTCTGAAGACATTTCGCTTCTCATCCAAGAAGCTTCTTCAGCTCTGACTTCCCGCCATCCAGTCAGTGCTGAAGAAGCTTCTTGGATGAGAAGCAAAACATCTTCAGAGAATAGCCAGAAAGTCCAGTTGCCTCTTGAAAAAAGCACTTTTGGAACAAACAACCCTTCTCCAAACCAAACTAGATCTGATATGTTTAAAGTGTAATGTGTGTGTGTGTGTGTGTGTGTGTGTGTTTGTGCAACAAGGCAACATAAAAGAATGGCTTTCTGCCTGGATGACTCCTAGAGTGATCCGATAGACAGAAAAGGGAAGCAGTATACTCCTTCCCATATTTGGGCACATCAGGGGTTGTGACACAATACATACATACATACATACATACATGCATGCATGCATGCATGTGTGCGTATGTGCGTATGTGCGTATGTGCGTATGTGCGTATGTGCGTATGTGCGTATGTGCGTATGTGCGTATGTGCGTATGTGCGTATGTGCGTATGT